TGGCTGTATGGCTACTAAATGGGCAATCTGAACTGTCATAGGCTACCCAAATTTATTTGTTTATTTAATTTCTGTACCACGCAACTGCCAACAGGGTGATTCACAGCAGCATATTTAAAAACAATATAAAATATAACAGTTGAAACATATTAAAACATCATAAGCATTAGCAATACAAAATTTAAAATCAGATTCAGTAGTAAACACCCTAATGGCACCCAGTAGGGAGTCTACAACCTGGAAAGCATCTTCCAGATAGTGCAGGAGAATGTTAATGTTGAAACAGCTGGCATAAAGGAGCTCCTCACTTTTCCACAAGAAGGAACTGACATGGGTCTTAAATTAGGTATATTACACAGATGAACGTATTGTCAGTTCTCTCCAGAAAAAGGCCAAGACAACCACCATGACCCTTAGATTCTCCTCATAGGACTTAGCTTTACCTGTGGCCTCTTAGCACTACCCAAACCCCCTTTAAGCTGCTTAGAACAATATTGTTAAGGATCCCATCCTAAAAGATCCTAGTTTTGGTCACTATTTCATCTGCATGAAGAATATCTGAACCCTTGGCCCTCTCCATTAGGAAAGGGTTCATCAGCTTTCATGGGACATGATCATTCTCAGAATTTACCAGACTTCCATGCCTAAGCTGACCTCCTTGTTCCACCAGAGCTGGGTCTACCACCTTTCTCTCCTAATATTTCTCATGTCCAAGAGAAGGACTGGCACAGGGTGAACAGTATGGAGAGTGGTTGAAACTTATCAGAAATTCACACAATCTTCCAGACCTTCAGATTCACTGTTTATATCCTTCCGTGTAGACTCCCCTTTTAGATGACTAAATGCATGCATTTCCGCAGAATATGACGCTTGCACTCCTCAAATGTTTAAGAGTCAGAACACACTCATCCAAGTCAGTAGCCATTTCAGCAGCCATAACCACTAATTCATACTTAACAGAAATTTGCAAGGCTGCAACTTGAGCAAATCCAAATACGTTCACATGACATGGTGAAATAGACACACATGCCTGTGGAAGGAGAGTTCTCCAACATATACCATAATTTTTTAGTTTAAATTATACTCCCATCCTAGCATAAATATTGCATTGTGGGATATTTTCTTCATACAACCCTGGAGAACAGATATTAATACTTACCAAGAAAGCTTCTACTAGTTCGGTGTGTGGGAGGAATCACAACTACCTCTCACAGTTTCTACTGTGCTTCTACCTTCTAATACCATCTGGAGGGAGGATTTTTAGCAGGAAAATGGGACAGAAAAAAGAGTTTGCCTGCTTCTTATGTGCTGCAGTTCTGATCTGGATCAGAATTCTTGCTACTTACTCTCAAAAGATCAAGCTTTAAAAAATATGCTTAACTTAAAGTAGCATGTTGTTTTACCCTTCATCTTCATGTGTAACTAAGGAAGTGCATGCAATTACACTTAAATTAATTTTTCTTTTATTATCCTTGCCTTTCCCATTCCTCTCTTTCCTTTTATTGCCTTTCTCAACCCCATATCCAACCCATAAAAATTTATAGTGTAAGCTTCTTAGGACAAGTATCTTTGTATTTTGCATATATTATATGCTCATATATGTTAATGAAACTAATAATAATATTATATAGCAGGAAGAGTGGCTCAAAAAGTTTTAATCTCAGTACAGATTGTAGAAGGAATAGTCTAGAATCCTTAAATACAGCATCTGGGCTTATTACGCTTTGCATGGAAAATTGAAATTCTGCATTGTTTTCTTAGACAAGGCATGTGAAAACATCAAGATACTGCTTTTCTTGGTTTACATATTCTCACTATCATAATATCTTATAGTATTTTAGAATGCTCTGCCAAGACCTGTAAAGTGGTCAATATGTTACATTTTCTTATTTAATTCATAGAAAGAAACTTGATTTCATTTGAAGTTAAGGTTACTGTTCATATTTTGGCCCTTTTTCCTGTCCCAAATCAAATGTCTGAAAAACTAGTACATGCTACTTCATTTGTAAAGAAAGTTTAAAGCTACTTTTTAAAGGTGAAAAAGTTTAAGTTCAGACAAAAAAGTACTATAATTCCCAGCATGCCCCAGCTAGCCATTCTGGCTGGGCCATACTGGGTTTTGCAGGATTTTTTCTTTTTTGGTCTAAGTGTACATAAAATTGCTGCTTAATAAAGTTTTCACTTGCCAAAATAAAGCAAGGTTATCATGTCACTAAACAATATTTTGAAGTACATGGAAAATATCAATTGATTTTTGACACCATTTCTAGAGGAAATGAATCCCATCCAGGAAACTCTCTTATGAAAGTTTCTATTATTTCCCAGAGCTAAATTATATCTATAAACACTGGGCATTGCAGCTTGAAAAGTGATGGGAAGTTTTCTGTCTTCACATAGCACAAGGGAATAAGTTGAGTGACACTTGTTGCTGTAGGAATGGCTTAACTTTAGGTATCCTTTCCCTTCTCTTTCGTTTGCCATATAAACATAATTTTTAGCAGAATTCCTGACAACTTCTAGCAATCCCTGCCAAGATTATGCAGTTGCCTATGCACAGAGCCCTAGAGTGAAGCTACAGCTTATTTGCAGGATTCACAATAAACTATGGAGTTTTTTTATTCTACTTAAACTCCTTTCCACCCGGGATTCCCTAGATGGCCATGCACTCTTCCTGTAGCTCTCTTCCCCAACCACAAATCATTTAGTGGCTTCCTAGCTTTTGTCGTGCAGCTTTTCACGCATTCCGAAAGGTTGAAATGCCTCATCTGGGACTTGGTTATTGGCAGTAATAACCTTAAACTACATTATACTGGCATTTTTTGGTCCCGCCCCTTTTGCCTTTGGCTTGCTCTCCAGTGGGGCACTTGAGAGAGTCTTCGAAAAGAAATTTAGTCCTTGGGCTTCAAGAGGTTCACTCGTGCCCTGTGTGTTAGGAATGAATGGGGCAAATATTCTTGGTCCACTTTCCATGACCAGGGTGGCACCAACTCTTCTGTTGAGGATGGTGAGGCCTGGGAAATGAGTTCTGTGGTCACAGAAATGGCAGGGGATGGTGAGGCGTCTCAAGGCTGCCATCTCCAGGTGTTCAGGCAGACCCTCAGAATCAACAGAAGTTGGAAGTGCCAGGAGGGGACATGAGAGAGAAGCCAGAAGAGCCTGGTCCAATCCTTCACCCCATGAAGTGGCATCAGGGGGGCTAGCCAACTCATGGGCCTGTGTGCAGCTTGCCCAAGTCCAGAGGGGACACCCAGAGGGGCAGGGGCCAGAGTTACTGAAAATGGGGGTACTTTGCATTCAAATTTGCATTCAACATACAGTTTTGTGCATGCTCAGATACTCTTCATATGCTGGCTATTAGCTTGCTGGATGTACATTTGAAATAAATGTTTTTACTAAAGAACTGTCTGTTATGTGAAAGGGAGAAGAAGGGAACCTAACTCCCAATACTGAGAGTTTGTACCCACCTTTACCAGTTATTGTAATGTGTAGAGTGCTCTTCAGCCCAAATCACATATGAAGTTGTATGAAATTATATTAGAACCACAGCACATTTGTTTATTTGTTATCTTTATATAGCACTCCACATTGCAGTATAGAGCTTGCAAAGCAGTGAACAGTAAAAGATAAAATTTTATGTATTTAAGTATTGTATTTCCATCAAATATTGGTCTGTTTTTCAATGCAGTTGATAAAATAACAATAAACATTCACCTTCATTGTTGGAGAAAATATATCAAAATATGAAGCTCCTAGAGGTTTGTCTGTATTGGCTTAGTCCAGCTTTCCTCAACCTGAAGCCCTCCAGATGTGTGGGAATATAACGCCCAACATCTCCCAGCCAGAAAGGGATGCTTGGAGTTGTCCCACACATCTGGAGTTTACCAAGTTGGGAAAGTCTATCTTAGTCTCTCTAGAACACACATTTTATTATAATTCAGACATTCCTCTTCAGGCATGTGCATGACTTATAAAAGTGCATAACGGACAGAAAGGACCTTGCAGATTTTGCATTGATTCTCTTGCTGAGCAAGGCTATAAACTCTAGCATTGCAGGCCTGAGTCTCAGTTGTCAGGACTGGCTCCCTCAAAACACCTGCAACCAAATTCATGTTGAAGAAACAGTGAACTGCAGGAATACCCAAGCACAGGCATCCCACTCCCCCATGAGAGTCCAAGGATCAGCGTTCTTAGTGAGCCTAAGTTCAAATACACTCCAATAATCCAAACAAGAACCAAAATCAGGGTCTTAAAGTCCAGCAGTGTATTCCAAGACAGTGAGTGGCTAAAGGCAAAGGAGTTCAAGGCATGCATTAAGTCAGGAGTATTCCAAACAAGGGATCATGTGGTGCCAGCAAAATTGTACCCACAGTCATCTTTCATCTCTTCACCCACTCACTTGTCAGTCCAGCCCTACAGCAACACTTAGCCTGAACTCCATCTTACTAGGTGTCATCCTCTTGCCTTTTCAGCCATTGATGTTGCCTAGGAGACTTGAACATGTCTTTTCCTCTGCCTTTTGGCTATTCAGCTAAGAATGTTCCTCAGGCAACTGTGATTCAAGCACATTTTCCCAGCTAACTTTGGCTGTAGTTGAGGAGGAACTGCTGCCCCCTCCCTGCAGGACGGATTCCCAGTACCCCAGCATTCTGTAGCTGTCTCCAAACCAAATTCTTCCCCTGAGAACAAGAGCTTAGGAGAAAGTGTGACATCAATACTGTAGACCAGCAGCTCTGGCAAATGTTCCATTTTCTACATGTGTATGTAAGGAGTTTTTGCACAGACATTCTGATAACTACCAACAGGCATGGCAGTGTTAATCAAAATACATCCTCCCATTCCAGTACAGCATTGTGAATCATTTAGCACTGCAGAGCCAGAAATGATATAATATGTTAAGTTCATTTGTCTGTTCAGAGGATTTCTCCCTTGTAACCTGATTTTTATTGCTCCTAGTTTCTCATTAAATAATTTAGTAATGGCCCATTCCTGTTCTTTCTTAGATTCAAGTTGGGAAGTACAATGAAACTATTGCTATGTTGCACCTTGGAGGAAGTGAGACGGCAATCACAGTTTCCATAGTCATCTGCAGTATCTTGCTTCTGCTGTCTGTCGTGGGTAAGGGGCAATGCCTGACTGATGAGTTTGTCACACCAAACACCTTCAAAACACTGAAATTTCAAACGTTTTTAACAGAATTTTATTTTGCATTAGAGTCAAGTCTAGAGTTTAAAAATAAATACTTCAGGTTTTGGATTTGTTAAAAAATTGGAGCCAAATCCAAGATTGCTGTCCCAGATACCCAGCGGGGGAAAGCAGGTATTTTGGTGTTCTAGGAAAAGCAATACACTTTCTAAAACCCTGCTTCATGCAGCTTTTAAACCATGGAGTGCTTTTTATCCCACTCAGTTTTATTCTTCATCTTCCTGTGTTACTTCCTGTCTAGCACTGAATCACACATACACAGACATGCAAATGCACTTTAGTGAGTCTCACCCATTCATTCCACTATCAAATGACCCACAAACTATTTCTGCCTGCATTTGACCACTCTAGCTGCCATTCAAAAGAAAGCACAGGCAGTTCCAAACTAACTAATTAATAAATAAATACAGAGGAAAGGTGTTTCACATTGGTGACTATGCAGTTTGCTTAGTTGCCCTTTGTAATGAATGTTTGATAAAGAGTCCACACATATACATACCTCCATTTAATGCAAATACTTGTGTCTTTCCTAAAAACACAACCAAACTTTCCTAATCCCCAGAAGCCTTCCTTGAAGCAGGACTCAAAGACTAGCCCACAGTTCTAGCTCTGTCAATTGTGTTTCTTTCTAATTATCTCATGTTTGTTAAGCAGCTGGGGTGGAGTTATACAATGCATTCCTTTTCTAAACCAATCATTTTAAAAGCCAATGCTATTTTAATGGAAAATGAATCCGTATCATTTTAGCTTGTGTCCTTTTTTGCAGCTCTGTTTGTATTCTGCACCAAAAGCCGCCGAGCAGAACGTTACTGGCAAAAAACTCTGCTACAGATGGAAGAGATGGAGTCCCAGATCCGGGAAGAAATCCGCAAAGGTAGGTATCTGTACTTCAGAATAGTGAAGGAGTCTGTGTAAATATCTTCTAGAACACACTGAAGGAAGTTGCAATTCTGAGATGCCCTTGGAATTAATGTTGCTGAGAGTAACTATCCACAAAAATAAACATGTCATAAACATGTGACCCAGATCAGCTTTCTTGGGGATTGCAAAATGACGTTATTACTATTGATAAAAGGGAAGCTGAAGCTTTGTCTTATGACTGAAATTTTCATTTAGTTTCCTGAATTTTGGGTACTTGCAAACAAACAGCCTAACTGAATGGCCATGCAACACTCTAATAAATGAAGGTCAGATGATTTAGCTGAAACTTGCTTCATAGGTCAGGGGAAATTGCAAGCTTCCAGTTTCCTGTAAATTATAAACTGATGAGCAGGCCATGAAAAGTGTATTGATATCTATGGCCGCTTTTCTATATAATCTTACTAAAGCCATCATGATAACTAGTACATTGTCTCATGCTTTTGGTTCCGTTTTTGGTCATGAAAATTCCTGTAAGGCCTTGATGTTTCACTAGAATCCACTGAAAAGAAGTGCATAAGACATTACTGCATGCAGAAGCAACAGGAAAAAGAAGTAGCCTAGAACTTTCTTAGCCTGTGAACATTCACAGAATCCTCTGTCCTATGTGGCCTATGATACCTACCTTTGTTCTAGTGAAATTTTGGGTGCATTTCGTGCATTACATGAGAGCACCTCTGTTCTAATTGTAGTTTCTTTGGATCAGGTTTTGCTGAACTTCAGACAGATATGACAGACCTGACCAAGGAGTTAAATCGCAGCCAAGGAATCCCATTCTTGGATTACAAGTACTTTGTGACCCGAACCTTCTTCCCCAAAGTAAGGCAACATGTCATACTACAGATTCTGAACAATGCATGCGGTTTCAACTGTACATGGCTGGCTCTTTCTTTCATTTGTCCTTTTTGCCCAATATTTACACTGCAGTTTAATACTAGTATCCTGTAATTGTCATGCTAGATATTAAACAAATATCTGAAAGCCATATCCTGTCACCTTTGATTCTTCTATAGTAACTGGAGAGCAAGTTTTCATTGCTGGAGATGGCATTGAAGAGACATTCCCAGTCTAAACCAGTGTGAACTATTATTCCAGCATGTTGTCATGTAGTATCAAGTGTTTTTTCTTAGGTGTTTAACAAGCAATGATTTTCCCCAGTTATGGATAATTTTTTAAATGTGCTACACCAATGAGAGATACATACATCTTCAGTTCCCCAGTGAGAATGGTGGATATCACACAGGAGTTAGCCTTGAGAATTACTACAGAGCTCAACATCATATTCAAACTACATCTAAGTCGAATAGCATCGGAACAATGCTATAGTTTATTCAATACAAGCTTATCAACCTTCGGCTCCTTATATCCCAAAGACATAAATATAACCTAATGGAGCTGCTCCAGTTTGTGTCTGCATCCCATCATTAATGTCACACCGAATGCAGTGCTTCCTTTTTCTTGTTATCAACTGCCCATTATATAATATCAGCTGGTTTAATTATAGTATTGCTTACTTGAAGCAGATGTGCTGCTTTGATAGTGGTAAAGAAATGTTTTGTTTCTTGTTTTTTTCTTTGCAAGATATCCTCTCAACTTCTCTTTTTGTCAAGCAGTTTGTCCAGATAAGATGCTAGACATTTATGGGTATCAGTAAAGCTATCAGCTGTCTACACATGCACTAAAACTGGTACATAGCACAAAAATAAAAATTGATGTTCTGAGAATCTTAACTTTTATTTTTATAAAGCTAATTTGTACCTCTTCTACTTGTGGAAAAACATGGGAATGTATGAGTAGTACCTAGTAAATGATAAAAAAGGAAACAAAAAGCAAACTGGGACTGGACATTGTTTCTGATAGTCTTCAACATACTGCTGGCTCCTTGTCTTTTTCAAGTGACGACTGCTTCTTATCCCTAACTTTTCTTGTTCCTATTATCCTCCTGCTCCCATCATTCCCCCTCTTCCCCCTCTTCATACATTTCCACCCTATTCCTTGCCTCACGATTTTAGAGAACCCACTGTTTAGAAGCAGAATAAATCAAAGCAAATAAAGAAAATAGACACAAATTCTTTTTTCAGAACTACATTCTGGGTGCAAAATTGAATTTTCATGTTGATTACACAAAGCCTTGGGCAACTCTAAGAGAATGAAACGGTTTTATCCTTTTTGCTTGGAGGACACAAATGCTCAAGTATGCAACAAACGCTGATCATGGCTTAGACCTCAATAATTCCTTCTTTGCTGAAGAGTCATGAATGTCAGATTAGCTAGTTCATAACCTTAGCACTGTGAATGCCTTGTTTCTCTCCAAACATACGCCTCCCCCAAAATTCTTCTATTTGTTCATTCAGATGCCTCTTGCCAAACATACCAATGCCTCCATAAAACATACCAACTTATTTCTTACTTATGAGTAGCCTCAAGTCATCATGACTCTCTCTTTGCCACTTTTAACAATGTTACTCTGTTGACATGGGACTTGGAAAAGACACAAAGAATTACAATCATTCCTCTTTTCATCAAAAAACCAAAACATGCTTTGGATTTTTTTCTGGTTTTTCTTTTCCTAGTGTTCTTCTCTCTATGAGGAGCGTTACATTCTCCCTTCCCAACATCTCAATTCCCAGATGGGGCTTCAGGTCCAAGAAACTCACCCGTTACTGTTGGGGGAATGGAAAGTAAGTAACTCTTTGGTAAACAGATTGGTTTATTATAGTGCTTAAGGAGTCCATGAGAAGTCAGACATTTCTGCACCGATGAAAAAGGAAAGTGGAATGAGCAATGAATTTGGTGCCAGAGACATAGAAACTACTGGTGAAATGCCTTCATAACCTGTAGAAAACCTGAGGAGAAATAAAACTGCTTGAAAAAAGCTATAGAATACATATATCTGCATTCAGTCTTTTGCTTTCTTGCAGAAGGGACCAGTTAGTACCACCGTTAGTACCAGTTAGTACCCTTTTGAGTCCAGGTTGTTTGCCTGTAATGTCTAGCAGAAGAGTGGGCAATTTGAGAGGGTCTGGAGACTAGTTTTGCTCTCTGAACCCCATGAGCAGCTGCACCACCCCACTGACAAAATACATACCACCAAATTTCAGTGGCACAGTAGCTAAAAGCCATGCTTTCCCTTGAAAACAAGATGCACAGTAAGAACTCTCCTTGTTCCCAAAAGGCCCAGACCTCCTGGAGTTGCCCACCTCATTATTTTATGAAGGGAATTAGACTTGACTTAGGTGCATATGGCTGCTGGTGCTATTTGGTTATTCTAATCTGCTACAGATGTGATTGATTCAGGAATGAAAGTAAGTGACTGTCAGGTGTTGTTTGCTTTTCTTTCGAAAGAAGATCGAGAATAGTATGCAATTTTGGACAATGTAGCCTGTGCTAACAGAGCACGAGGAAATACTCTAGTCTGTCTACTTTGGGGGAAGTTTAATATGACAGAGCTTTAGAACTCCTAATCTGCAGTGCCTTTGAAGGCCAGTTCTTAAGTGGATCGGATTAATTAGGCTTAAACAAGCAATAATATTTCCCCTTGTGTGCATACTGGAAGGACTGATACATTAATATTGCAATACAGGCTTTATTTGTTTGTTGTTTTATTCTGTGGATTTTAAAAGTTTATACCTATAAAATTTGTTGCTTTACCCCAGCTTGAGTATTTTCAGTGGAAATGTTGGAAAAGATTATTCATCACCATCATGTCATTTACTAACAGGCATTGAAAGCAATGTACGCAACCTTTAAAAGTGGAATAGGCCAGTTAAGAGAGTGATGAAGGAGAAACTTGTATGGCATGCTTTTCTCATTGAAATCACTGGTTTTCCTTAGATTCCTGAAAACTGCAGACCCAATATGGAGGAAGGAATTGCATTGTTCTCTACATTACTCAACAATAAGCACTTCCTCATTGTCTTTGTTCATGCTCTTGAACAGCAGAAAGATTTTGCTGTTAGAGACAGGTAAGACTCTCCTGAGATTTTAAGGTCTCTTCAGGTGACATCAGATCAGCTCAAGTTGTCCACACACTTCTTTTATCCTACAGTCTTGGGTGAACCCTGCCCTGATTTTTGGCATCTGAAAGCACTTCCTTGATAAATACAATCTTCACTTGCTTTTGTCCAAACAATTGCTTGCTATTTTTCTGAACTGGATATCCATGCTTATCGAGGATTGAATGCTTCCAGATGTTATTTAAAAAGCCCAGAGCAGCTCCACATTTTAAAGAGGGTAGCTAACCTGTTCAGATTTCGTGATGCTTGAAAGAAGTTAAAGACAAAACAAAATGAGCTGCTGGCTGCTGTTTATAAACTTGTTGCATGAAGGAAAGATTTTTAATTATATAAAAAGCATTTGAGCCCCATTGACTGGGTTCATATGGCATGGTAAGCCACTGAAGGCACAGTGGCTTAGCGTGTTGTGCAAACTGGCACGGTGCCTGGGTGGCTTAGAAGTAGTAAACTTTGCAACAGACTTATAGTTTTATCCTCCAGGGCTTGTGGTGTCATCTGAACCCAGCTGATACAACAAGCTGCAGTAGACTAAAAGAAAAGCTCAGAGCCGTTTGGCCAGAGAGGCAGAAATGGTGGCCGCTCCTGTCATGTGGTCCAGTGGTCCATCATTGCCAGCCACTGTAGAAGTGCCATAGCAGCACCTGAAGGCAGCTGGTTAAAGGCTTCTCTCCTCCCAGCTGTGAAGGTGAGCCCTTTGGGCAAACAACGCCCTGACTTTTTTTTTAAACAAAGGGGCATTGAGATTGTGCCAACTGCCATAGACACTTATTGTCTTCCAACAGGTGGGTATTCCAAAAGAGCAACAATGGGACATAACAAAGCACAAGTGATTGAAAAAGAAAATGGTTCCAGGGTTCTTGGTAACTCAGGGGCATCCCTTAATAAAATACTCACATGCAGCCTGTGATAGGAATTGGAAAGGATAGGGGATTGTGGTTTTGGGGCAGCAGCCACCCACCTTAGCCAGTATGTACTCCAGTTTTCCCTTTTTTATCCCTTCTGCCTCATTGGTGCCAATGGGCCACTTGAGGAAAATATACATATCAGCATTATTTGTGCAAAGGGGCCCAACCCACTAATTTTTTTAAGGGTGGACAATGGGCAGTCCATCCAGGGTACTGCAGTGGGTTCTTGGAGGGCACCTCATCGATGCCATCATTAGGATCAAGAGTGAGGGCTTGACTGCCTGGTTTGGGAAGTTCAAATTTGCTTTGCTTTGCTTCACTTTGCTTTTTAAACCAAGCTGCAACAAACCAAAAACTGCTACAGTGTCCTCTGAAATACCTGCAGAAGGACTGAACAGAGAGGTGGCTCCAGAGCCATAATGTGCCTGATTGTCATTTGAGGATGTAGCCCCTGGAGTAAAGAAGCCAGAGTACATGGCTTTAGCTTATTAAGTGAAAGGCTTATTGTGCCATGCAAACCATCCCAACGACTCAGTCCCCAGTGGGGGTTTCAAGATTGTTAAGTAATTTTACAATAGATAGAAAAATAAAAAATTAGTCCGTAAGTGGTTCAAGATACCCTGATTACTAAGAAAGCTGGAAAATAGTTTTATATTCCATAGCATATCAATGCAAGCTTTTACATGTCTGTTTTCACATAAGCCCTATTTATTTTAATGGGGCTTTCTCACAGGTAAATGTGTATAGAATTATACAAACAGCCTCATAGAGGCAAACCAAACTATGCCTCTGACAGGAAGATTCTGTCACATTCTTCAAGAATCCTGGAGTGGAAAGCAGCAGGAAGGATATGCTCAATTTTCCTTGTAGGGTAAAATCACTTCTTTATCTTTGTAATGGAAACACAGTGATCAAAGTAATTTTCTCTTTGCTACTCTTGCATTCTCTCTGCATTGCAATGCCCATGCAGCAGTTGTTAAGTCCTCTAAGTAGTCATGTATACCATCTCTAGAATTGCTAAAATTTCACAAAATAGTCTGCATGGCATTCGATGGTGTTTTAAACTGTATTAAAATTATCTGAAGTACATTCTATGGATGTTTCTAGCTATCAGCAAGAGATACAATATTTAATTCAGCTGTAAGAAATGTCCTGTTTTTAAGAAATGGTGATAAGGGATCTCTGAAAAGACAAGGAATGGGGAAGCACTGCCTCATTGTGTTATCTGAGAATTGTAGCAGAGCCTTGAACTAGCATCTTGAGGGTATCGCACAAAAACCATATCCCCTCAAACATCAAGCTTTCGTGCCATTCCTTTCTTTCTTTAAAAAATACATTTATCCCATTGTTCAACTTGCAGGTGTTAACCTTCTCTATTATTACACAGAGTGCCAGAATATTTTTTTTCTTTGAACGATTGGCATCCATTTCGTTGGAAGGGTGGCATAATACAATGTGATTATGCACAGCTGTGATACAAATGGCTTGAAACCTCAACACTTTTGAGAGGCTTTGTAAAAACAGTCTTGAGTGTTTCCATGGTTTTACTTTCTCTTCATGTTGATTGATGAATCCCATCTTGTACCATCAATCTGAGTATCATTCATTAACTCTTCCTTCAGATGCAACCTGGCCTCTTTGCTTACCATTGCCCTGCATGGGAAACTGGAGTACTACACAAGCATTATGAAGGACCTCTTGGTGGATCTCATTGATGCATCTGCCTCTAAAAACCCCAAGCTTATGCTGAGGAGGACAGAGTCTGTGGTGGAGAAGATGCTGACCAACTGGATGTCTATCTGCATGTACAGCTTTCTCAGAGTAAGAAAGTAGAAAACAAAAGCTTCCCTGTTTACAGCAGGCAAAAAATGTCAAATATCTGAAGGTATTAAATATGGGCAGTTCATACAGATGTAGATGGTCTGTCTAATAACCAGGACCCAAACCATTTAGGGTTTTAAAGATCAAAACCATCACTTGGAATTCAGCCCAGAAATCTAATAGTAATCAGCACAGTTGATACAGCATTGGTGTAATACAGTCTGACCCTCTATCCCCAACAAGTGACTGCATTTTATACCAGCCACAGGAAGGAGGCTTACCTAGACTTCTGTATAGTTCCATCTGGATGTAGCTAGGGCATAACTGAGACCAAATCCACTTTACTTACATAGGATACAGCAGATATACAAACAAAGCTTGATACAAGACACTCGTAACTATTGCTGCTCCTTGAGGAACTGTAGGATACAAACATGGCTGTTCTTCTCAGGGAGTGCAGTTCCCATCCTATGGGAATTGAATTCCTAGGTCTAGATCAGCTGATTTCCTCACCCAACATAGTTCTACCATGTCAGGATCAGGCTTTGGCTTGCTTACACCATCTGACTCCTAACCAGTGAGAGCCAGGGTAGAGTAATGGTTAGAGTGCTGGACTGCATATCTGGACAATCCAGGTTGTAGATCTTACCTGGCCATAACATTCACTGGATGAATTTGGGTCATTTAGTCTCAGCCTTACCATCTCATGGTTGATGGTCTCAGAAACCACTGAGTGATCCAGGAGAGCTAAATTCTACTAGTCCTCCATATACTTGGCCTCATTATTTAAAAAGTGGAGAGCTTTTGTTGGGCTGTAGATCCCAGGTGTAAGTAATGCACCAGTACGATTAGGGCTGTTTCCTTGAATGGAAACCAGGATTGGAATGGATCCAGCATCTTCCAGGACTACATGAATTTGAGAGGCCCTCACCAGCTCCAGGACCTCGCTTGGAAAATTACAAATTTAGCACAGGAACATAACATAATTTGAGGAGGAGTTACACTGTATTTTTTCCCCAAGTGGCCTAACCACCACCTCCTTGTGAGCAGTCAATACCATTCCTTCCCTCAAAGATGCATGTATTACCTCTCAGATCCGAACTCCAGGCCCCTAAAAAAATGAAAATGGTTTAGGATATGGGATACAGAGGACAGCCTCAGCCCTCCACGATGTCTGTACACATGGTTGCATAACTGAAAACTGCTTACAAAATCCAGGACCAGCTAGTGTCCTAGATATATCCATCTCCAACTGTATTTAAAATGTGGTGAATATGAGCAATTTAATGTGCAAAAGCCAATGCAGATTGGTCACACATTGGTCCCTTATTCAGTATTTTTAGAATTTGTTCATGCTCTGTCCATGCGTTTGTAGAAAATGGTGGTGCAGGGGATGAATATATATCCTTATTTCATTCAATTCCCACAGCAATGCCATGAAAAAAAAAATAGCGAGTTGCCAGAGGCCACCCAGTAAACTGGCTGAGCAAGGATTTCCAATCACTGAAAGCAACTGCTAAAACTTGGCTAAATACACATAGAAGTACTTTACCATAAGTGATTGTAACAGCATCAAAACAATAATGCATTTTGTCTCTGAAAAGTGGGGCTCAGCAGTCTTTAATTCTCGTTATCTTATTGAAAGAATACTTTTCAGTGTAGCAGAGCATCGGTTCTACTATTATGCAGCAAGATGAAAAACAGTATGTCCTGAAGTGGCCTCTGTGTATGGTGTCCTATTTCTAGCGTTTGCTGGGCTTGATCTTGCCAGGGTCAAGGAAAACTTATTCTCATGGATGCTGCTGTGGAATTTCTCTGTTTGAATGTCAACTGTTAAGCATGCATTTTGTTACAGAACCATTCAGTTTTCATAATAATATTTTAACTAAGGCTGCTGGTTTTGTCAACATTTCTGTTCAAGGGGCTTTGACTGCTCCTGGAATATTACTAGACTATCCATAGTCGAGCTAAAATAAGAAATCCACACTTAAACACAGAGGCTGCGCTTGTTTGTGCAATTTAAGTAATTAGCAGCCCTAACAAATACCGTATGCGTATTTCTGGCCAAATAATACTTGAGTTTTTGGCATTTGCTTTCAAGAACTAGGCTCCAATGTAATTTTTAAATGTGGTTTAAAGTTTAAAACATAATCAACAATATTTATTGTCCCAAATCCTATGATGTTTAATAAGGCTTACTTCCAGGTGGAAGTGGGCGCGGGTGGGAGAAATTGTGAATTGACCTAAGCTGCATTTACTAAATACATGAAGCTCAGTGCAAATATTCTTTTGTTTTTAGAAGTCACTAGATTTTGCAATGCCATTTTCTGATGAAAAGACTGTGAACATCAGGGAAAATTTCCTTGTAAAAAGCATATATCTTACAGAAAATTGTGTATGAAGGTACATTTAGATTTTTGTTTGAATGCACATGTCTATGAGAGGTAAAAAGCTTGTTTTTGACAAATGTAAACACTGCAGCAAGCAAAGCAGCTTTGTCCATCCCTTTGAATAGGATTGCAGCCCTAAAAAACAAATGTGAAGTTGCTGCTTGCCTATTGTGTAAAGCAGCTTTCACCAAGCTTGTATGCTCTAGATATTTTGAAGTATAACTCCCAGAATTCCTGACAATAGGGACATGCTTGCTGGGGCTGATGGGAATCAAAAACATCTGGAGGGAACTAGAAAGCAGAGTGTAAACGTTTACATTTTACTCAAAGTACTATAGTCTTTAAGAAACCAACTTTTAAGTGTATCTCTTAAAATTTACTATACAATTGAACCAAAAGAGCAACATGAATTTCCTTTTCACTAAAGAGAAAAATATTTGTAGCATTTGACAAACTGTTTAAACTCCAAAATGCATCAAAATTGCAATAAATTGTTCATGTATGGCTGATGAAAGACACTCAACAAATCTGGAAAGGGGAAAATATAAGAAGGCAGGTTTGGTTTTTTAATTGTATGCTCTAGTGCTAAAATCTGCTGGGCTGGCATATATTTGGCCTTGCCATTAAGAAAGTGGAGACTTCTTGTGGGACTTGAGAACTCAGCAGGAACCTGATACAACCCAAATCAATTGCCTAACTTCTTCTGAAAGGGAATATTATGCAAGAAAATGTTTCGAAGGGGGGAAATTGAGCTTTATCTTATGGGACTTCTGAGTAAGATGGTTTACAAAAGGAATTAACAGTGTCTGGAGCTCTCATGTGGTCTGCCTGTTCCTCTGACCTTTCCTTTCCTTGTGACTCCTCAATTCCCATACAGTCAAAGAAAGAATCACTGTGTCTGCTAGCACTCCTATGACCACAGATGCCACCTTGTGTCTATCAGAGGGCAGGAAAGTTGACTCAAAGGGAAAGGTTTGGTTCATTCAACCAGGGTGCAAGATGCAGGTTTCATGGCAGGAGAGGAAAGTACAAGATTTTAAAAAGTTAATCTAAAACATAAAGCCAGCTTGTAAATAATTTGTTCAGCCTGCCCCATCTTTTAAACTTGGCATAGTTCCAGCTAGGAGGAAGATAAAAGACAGATGTTATAAACATAAATGAATTCTCCATGTGGGCTGTGATAATGCTTTAATTCTGCGGTATTTTGCAGAGCAGCCAGTGACTGGCTGAATCCATGGAAAGCATGTCAGCAAACTAGGCAACTTGTTTTTGACAAGGGTGAGGCTGAACCACCTCACCGTCTGTTGTTTGTGCTGCTGAGAAACAGCTTTTATCCATATAGCCATAGAACAAGAGGGCAAGAAAAAGACAGCATACCAGCATTTAGTCTCTGTCTCTGTAATATCATCTTAGTGTGTGAGAGTGTGTGTGTGTGTTTCAAAATTACATGGCAATTTTCATTAGCAACAGTATTTAGTTTAGACTCAACAAAAGAGATCACAGCAATCACATACATCAATAGTACTGGAATAAATCACCTATTCTAATTTTGTCTTAACAGTGAGAACATGTCTCATTGAAGACAAAGCACAATAGCTACCCTTGACTTGTGTGTGTGAATAATGATCTGAAGAGCAATCATATACTGAGATAAATTGGTGATCTAATTGAATACAATCAATAGATCTCATGAGGTCTCAAGTAAAAGTCCCTTTAATCTTCCTAGCCAGGATACCAGGGATTATCTCATACATAGGTAGTTGGAGATGAGCCCATTCTATCGAACAGCCACTCTTCCGTCTGGGCATCACAATTCTGGTACACTTTGTGTCTTGGAAGGAGATCTGTTCATAAACTAGCAAGAGGATTTTGTTTTCACTCCATGAGGGTCTTACAGATGCACCACTACTGGAGGACCATACAAAATGAAAGGCAAGCGAGGAACTCACCTGACCTCATGTGGGGTCTTAAGAGATATTCCAGAGCATCAAAAGTTCTTTCTGCTTTGGATCACTTAGATAACCAATGCAAACAAAACACAAGCAACAGTCTCGGAGAGGGTTACTGAGATGCACTTAACTTAGGGAGTGGCCTGAAACAATGGAGCTTCTGACTGCATCCAAAAGCCTCAAGCAATGGCAGGAGCAAGGCCATTCCTATCCACAAAGCTGAAGGAAAAGCAAGGTTGGAAATGGTGCCTACTAATTTTGGCTCCCCATCACAGCCATCCTAATGCTGTAGCCTCTAAATAATACATGTTTTTCAAAGTTCATCAGAACCTTGGGTTCTCTATTTATAGTGGATTGGTACAAAAGTTTGAGAGCCAAGGTTTTTACTGTAAACGGGGCTTTCAGGGGGGCAGAATATTGAGTATTTCCCCTTGCTTCAAATCTTGCCTTTTCATGCTGCTTCACAACTGTTTATTGTCCTTTTCAGCTGCAGCATCTTATTGTCCCTCAAATTGGGCCACTTTTTTATTTTCTAAAACAAAAATAAAACCAAGCAACAAGAATACCAATGTCATAGTTCATTAAGGCTATGAAGACTCATAGACTGATTTGGACTGATGCCAGCAGCTGAATGTCAGCCCTTGAGGCTTTGGAGAGTGTC